TTAGTTTAGCTCTATTGGGTTGCAATTAACCTCTTTGTCATGGACTGCCTAATCTTAAAAATAAAAGGAAGTCACAGAGGCAGTTAAATCAATCTACTAGACTGCAACACAAGATTCTAATCTATAAGAAAAAAGCTTAGGTAAACAATTATGCTCCTGGCCACAGGGACTACATGGTATAATTACTCATATTTCATCTGTTGTCTCCTCTCTAAAGAAAACCATTGGCTTTCATAAGAAGGCTGCTACTTTTGCTGTTATTTTTATTCTACAGGAATTTTTTGTCTCAATTATTGGCAAGAAGATGCCATAACTATTTGGCACAGGGTAGTTCACACTGTAATTATCTTGGCAGTTTTGGAGTCTGTTTGAAAATACTGTACARTATAAATGGGCAAAGATTTGGGCCATCTATTTTAGAACACATAAGGATAATCAACAGAATGGATTTCTTGGCTGTGATTTTTCCCCCTGGGTATTATTATAAATAATGTATCAGATACCATTGACTGATTATCTGAAAATTTCCAAGACTGTAATATCAGGAACAAAAGATAACAAGAATAATTTGCCCCTTTGAATTATCATTAGTTAATTTCTTTGATTCAAACAGTACCACTCTATAAGATGGAGCGTATTCCCAACCTGTGCTTAGTTTTTTTGTCTTTTTAATTTTTTTAGTTGTCAATGGACCTGTATTTTATTTATTTATATGCAGTGCTAAGAACCAAACCCAAAGCCTCACACATGCTAGGCAAGTGATCTACTACTGAGCCACAACCCCAGCCTGTGCTTAGTTTTTATAGGAAGAAAAGGGAGCAGGGGATTAAGGCAGCTATACCCCAAAACTAAGTTTTCAAAGGAAAGGGACAAGAAAACATGGTGTAATAGAGAAAACAAGGGATTTGAAATAAGCCACAGRCTGAATGCCAGTCTCTTTTAAGAGTAAAATAGAGATAGTAATACTAATTTTCAAAATTACAGGGATGAGCAATAACAAATATAAAATTCCTTCCATATATTAACTACTCCTCAAAGCTGATCTCTTCCCTTTCCGTAGGTTTTGCTACTGTCCGTTATGGTATAATCAAAGGTATTGTCCTCAGTTTTGATTTGAGGAAAAAAAAGCTAAATGTACAATAAATGAAATTCAATATTCCTATAAAGGTCATGAAAAGTAACTCTAGTGTCCAAGGCTGAGTCAAAAGCAAGTTTACTGCCTCCAAGTTTAGTGCTCTAGACCCAGATCCTTTGACATCATGGTGCTATCTTGAAATCTCACCTGCTACTTGCCAAGAGTTCCATGGTCTCCTTTTTTTGACTTGAAAAGTTGAAAAATATTATCAGGTCAAGATTTCAAAACACAATTTCCTATCATGCTGGCTTCAGATGAAAGATACAGTAGAATGATAACTCAATGGCATAAATATTTCATTTCTTTTGAATTTTTCATAATAAATATACAGCTCACATGAATAATAGAAAGTAGCTCATATACACCATTCATAGTTACATTATGCAATACTCCTCCAGTAATCTGTTACACATCTGGACAACGTGGAGGAATCTCAAAATTTTTTTTACAATAAGCTCTTCCTTTAAAAATTCTGGCACTGGAATTTTTATTTTTCATACTAATGCTTGACACAATGGGATCTGATTTTTCCTTCTATAAATTTTAATGTACACGACTAATAAACTCCTAGTTTGAAAATCAAATGCTCTAAAGTGGTTGGGCTTATTCATATTTCTTTTATAAAATCATACTTCATTCAGAGACTGTACATTACAAAGTACTCTGTGATTCTGACGTGGAGATGCAGAGAGATGGAGGTGGTGGCAGACCAAAGAAGGGACATTCATTTCAGAAGTAAATGTCAACCTTTCCAGATGAGCACCCCTTCCCTCCTTTCCCCAAACTCACTGTAAAATGCTGCCAACAACTTTCAAATTTCATTTGTATATGTGTGTGTGTGTGTGTGTGTGTGTGTGTGTGTAGTTGCTGACTCCCCACCATGAAGGTTCAACAGGTTGAAGCAATGAGAAAATTCTGCACGTCTATACTTTTCTTGATCAGCTCCAACTGTATCATGAAAGCACTTAAATGATAACAGAAAACGATATTCATCAATACAAACACAAACATATTGATGTGTATATATATGTATACATAAATACAAATATACACACACACATGCACGTGGCGGGGGCAGGGAGGGGGCATTAAAGCTTTTTACTCCGGTTGGTTGTCATTCATGTGTGRAGGCTACAAAAATACATTTGAAGAATATGTTGGGCTCAGCAAAAGAGAGGCACTCAGCAACTCAGAGAGACCCTGTCTCTAAATAAAATATAAAATGGGGYTGGGAATGTGGCTCAGTGGTTGAGTGCCCCTGAGTTCAATCCCCACTAGCCACCCCACACACACAAAAATGAAGACGTTGGGCCACAAATCAAATTATCAATCATTTTGTCTTCTATTTTAAAATATGTCACTTTACTGTATTCACTGTTACAGGGTTTTCACAGACGTGCCTTCACAGGTGAACATATTGAGAAAGTTCCACTGTATTCCTACTTTTCTGATGGTTTTTATCATGAATGGATGGGTTTTGGAAGGCAGAGCCAATCTTGCATAGGAGGGATAAATCCCATTTGGTTGTCAAGTGTAATTTTTTATATTTTGTTCTATTCAGTTTTTCTTGAGGAATCTTAGATATATATTCATGAAAAACACTAGATCCAATTTTTGTTGAGGAATTTTTTTACTACATTCATGAAAAACATTTCTTGTAATGACTTTTTTCTGACTTGGGTATCAGAATGGTACTGGCCTCACAGAATGAGTTAAGAAAGTTTTTTCTGCTTCCACTTCTGGGAGAGATTTGAAGACTGGTATTATTTCTTCCCTAAATGTCTACTGGGTTTTACTGATGAAACTATCTAGGAAATATTTCTTTGGTTTTGGAAGATTATTCAAAATTCATTGAAGTTTTAACAAATACAGAGCAATTAAGGTTGTCTTATTTTTTCCTTCAGTGAGATTTTGTAGTCTATTCTTCAAGGAATTGGTCATTTCATCTAAACTACCACAGGATGGTTCATAATAATCCTACACTATGTTGTCATGTCCCAGTGATGAATAGTGATGGACCTTCTTTAATCTATGATAGTGATAATTTGTTTCTTCTCCCTTTTTTCTTGGTTAGCCTAGCTAGAGATTTATTACCTTYCATGATCTTTACAAATAGCAACTTTGGATTTTGGTGATTTTTCTCTAAAGTTGTCCTGTTTTCTATTTCATTGATTTTTGCTCTAAGGTTTATAATTTCTTGGCTTTTTTGGATTAAAATGCTCCTCTTTGTCTACTTTCCTAAGATAAAAGCATGTTAATTTTTTAATTTTTTAGTTGTTGGTAAACCTTTATTTTATTTACTTATTTAAATGTGGTGCTCAGAATTGAACCCAGTGCCTCACTTGTGCTAGGCAAGCACTCTAGCGCTAAGCTATAACTCCAGCTCAAAAGCACTGTTTTTAGTGCATCCCACAACTTTGATACATTGTATTTCCATGTAAATCCAATTTAAGACTTTTTTAACCTWTGGATTATTTAGAAATATTTTACTTAATTTCAAAATATTTTGGGGATTTTTCAGATCTTTCTGTTGTTGATTTTTAATTTAATTCCATGTGTTCTGAGAACATATCTTTTAAGATTTTTATTTGTTTAAATTTGTCAGAGTGTTTTATGACTCAGCATGTGGTCATTGACGGATAGTTCATTGATGAATGAAGAACTATTCTTTGTCATACTTTGAAACTGGCACATTGTAAATTTTTTTCTTTAACAATTGATGCTAACCAGAAAATGAGCAGATATAATATTAATATGTGAACTCATAGGCMAGGAATAAACTGATATGATTTTTGTTTTAGAATTATAGTTGGAAAGCTTAAAGCTTCTGTGCCAGTTCTCCTTTAAAAAAAAAAAAAGGGCAATGTTTGCCAAATGCAAAAAGGAAGACATTTCATTTTTAGTCTCCTAAGAGATTATTAAAAATAACATAAAAACTACTTCTAAGGGTATTTGAAATTCTTCATTTACATGACACCAGTTTCTAATTTAAACATAATTGGAGAGAATAAATTACATAGAAAAGAGGTAAAAGCACACACACTGTAGGTTTCTATAGCTGTCTCTCTGGATGTCATAGTCAATAGACTCCAATAGGGAGGTTTGCATTTGGCCAACCGCTCTTGATGACAAAATTATACTTTACATAACCTAGCAACATCTACTCAAGAGAAAATGCAACAACTGAATAAATAAAAGCAAAGTAAACTGGAAAAGTCAGCTAATAAAACTCTAATTGACTGGACAAAATTCAATCAACTTATCAACACAGCTCTAGTCGGACTTCAGCCAAATCATCCCGAACTCTGTACTCTTTCAGTTCTAAAGCTCATCATGGTACAAGGTGCTGAAAGTCCAATTATGCTGATTCTAAATTAATGATGCCTTATTTAATTTCTTCCTTATGTCCTATCAGGGGTTTTTGTTGTTGCTGTTGTTTTGGTTTGGTTTTTGTACTGGGGATTGAACTTAGGGGCACTCAGCCACTGAGCCCCATCCTCAGCCCTATTTTATATTTTATGTAGAGACAGGGTCTCACTGAGTTGCTCAGAGCCTTGCCATTGCTGAGGTTGGCTTTGAACTCCCGATCCTCCTGTCTCAGCCTCCAGAGTCAAATGTCTTATTTTAATCCCCCCTATTATGTTAGTTAACTAACTATCTATTTCAACTTTGGATAGCAATGCTATTTCATACAGACAATGTGACTGAACAAAACTGATTCTGGGCAATTAATAGTGTGAATGTGCAGCAAAGGAGGGCCACACATACTAAAATTTTGTTTTCCAATGAAGTTTGTTAAAATAAGATGAAGAAGCTATTTAAGGAATAGACTACTTCTTAAGTGCAATAATTCTTTGACTATTACCTTTTGTTGAATCATCCTCTATCGGCTGCTTGAACAACGTAATATCCTTGAACGTGCACAGGAACAGGACTACCTTCTCATGTTCATTTCTTATTGGTGCAATTTGCATGTAAAACCAAACAGGGGTCCCTGTAACAGAGAGAGACAGAAGGGACAATAATGTGACCCAGCCATACCAATGCTCTTCTGCCTTCCCTCTTCCTTCAGCTTCCAATTGCTCTGCCAGGAATTAGCACCAAAACAACAGTATGTTCAATGCCACAAAGAATCCCAAAACCTTTATTTTTATRTCAACTACCAGTACTTCAAATTAAATAAACATTTTTCAACCCAAGATATCAAAATTCTAAAGTACAGCATAGAGTCTCACTTCACAAAGCAAGCACGTGAAGGCAGTCTCACTACCTAGGTAAGGCCAGTGTCACCTTTGGGTCTAGGTCCCTAAACTACTGCTTGTTCTCTTTTTGATAGTCTCACCAAGTGTGATCGCTCCTACAGGCTTCTCTCCTCTTGTCATTTTGACAAGTGTTTCCAATTAACGGCAACAGCAATACCTGATGCTCTGATAAGTATTCCTCCCGGAGGAACATCTGAAATGCTGCTTCTATCCTACGACTCTCTCATCAGTCAGATAAAGTTATAGTACACCTTCACTATTTTGATCGCATCCCCATATTAGAGAGAGGTCATCAACAACACTTCATGCCTGATGTACTGGGCTCTACCTGAAGCCTTTCAGGCAATCTTAAAGGAATAAAAGACATGTTCCTAACCTTTGAGAGTCTCAGGGGTGTTCACCAGCCTCTGCTTCTTACCCACCTCACTCAATGCATGAGGCCATACACTGTCACCCTTTTCTTCAAAGAATGGCTACAGTAGACCCAGGGAGAGGTTTTCAGAGCATCAAAGCCTAGGATTTGAAGAAACCAGGACCTGGCATATAGCAGATAATAAACCTATGCATAAGAAATGCCTTCAAAGAATAATTATCCATTAAGTGATAAAACACTGAAGGAATGCTCTATCAGAACCAAAGACACATTTTTCATCATATTTTCACCAATAGTGCAATAAGGCCCCTCCAAATATTCTCTCTTAAAGACACAAAGGTTTTTGAACAGTTTAGGAACTACGCAGGTGCTAACAGTCTGCAGGTGAGAGTAGAYAGCCTTAGCAACTCCAAGTGAAAACCAATTAGGAAGCACCTTCATATTCATGTCCAAAAAAGTCACCCAATGCCACTGTAGAGGACAACTTGCTATTTAGACAAGATGAAGTAACTCAACTACCAAAAGAAGTCAGAGAATTAGAGAGAGTAGATTTCCATGGGAATATTCAGTTCTGGCAACCATGTCTTTTGTAACCCCAGCAGGGCTATGGAAGGACATGGCCCTTTCCAAAATAATTGCAGGATGAGACAGGGACCTTGAAAACAATCACATCATCTCCCACAGAGGCTTGTTCTTTGTCTTCAGTTTCTTATTTTACCCAGCGTGTCCAGGAACTGTGAGTGATGTGAACAGTTTTACAAATAACCAGACTCAGACATCGGTGTGTACATGGCCTATGGCTGTTCCAACACAATGAGCTTGAGGCAGAGGGTCATAAAAAAAGAGAAAAGGGCATAAAAATAAGTCGTTTTCCTAGGTCTGTTAGAAATCTGGACAGAAAGAGATGGTGTAACATTTCATGCCTTCCTATGAAAACAGCAACTTTTCAAATTCTAGCGGACAGGGCTGTCTTAAAAGCTGTTTTCAGATATCAAGATAGTTTTCTTTTTTTCAACTTTGCTAGCCAGTCTTCCCCAAGTAGGCTGAATGTCTGCCAAGCGGCTGGTGAAATATGGTTTATATTCTAGATTTGAGGTTCCTGGGTGGAGGGCCACTGAACACCCAGGGCAGGGCTTTGGTAGTGGTTACTTGGCCTAATCCTGASGCTCATAGTTCTGCCTTTGTGTACACAGAGGGGCTATTTGAAATCATTACCCCAGAGCTACTATTTCTTTCCCCATAGTAGCAACAGCTAATCAGAGCACTGGACCTACAGAACAAAGACCACAAACTGAAATGTCAATCCTGAGACATACTAAATCAGATACCTCTATTTCCCCCACTTGCAAAATGATGTTTAACCTAATTACATAATGGAAGTGTTGGGAGGACTTGGCATTCCGGCATTCCCAAAACAGTTTCGAGACATGAGAATTTCCCTATTTAACATTTTTAGAAGTCACAAGAATATACTTTTTGCAGTCATGGTCAAAAGCTTTCAGCTGACATTTTACAAGGTCTTTTTTTTAAGCTGCTTTTAAATAGTAGAACTCCATAATAACACATAGATGATGCCTATCCTTCATATTAAAGCAAAAATCAAAAGTAAAATTCAATGCAGATGGTATTTTTAGAAAAAAGACAAGAGTTTGAATCCATGGTGTTGTGGGTTCTACCTCCTAATGGTTATATATATATATATATATATAAAATGTTTTTTTCTTTTCACGCAGCCATCTGAAAAGAGCCAGACAGGCCTGAACTAGGTCAGATAATAATTTCAATTCATTAACATCAGGAAAAATATCTAAACTGCCCTGAAAGGAGACTTTTGGAACTATGAATATTAAGCTATCACTAATGTGATTTAAAGTCAATAAACAAAACAGAAATTTTACTAAGGTATTTTTGATAAACTCAGAAACTACAGACTTGGTTTTGATGTTAGAAAATCAAGCAAAGATTTGTTTGTTCTGTTTAAATGTCACAGTGCATAACCTTAGTCCTATGGAGTGTCCTTAAGTGTTCTTTGCTACACTTGGGCTACATATCTAAGTCATTCAAAGGCTAACAAACCATTTCATGAAAAATGCAAGTGGTTTTGGCGTATGGTTCTCCCATGAATTAACAATGTGTATTTGGAACTTGTGAAAAAGACCCAGAAGGCACAGAGAAACTGCCTTTGCTCTTACAGAGAAAAAGAGCAGATCATTCAGAATGGATTGCAGTCTAAATGATAAGCCAGATGACATTTGGCTGGGACTTCAAACAGATATATCTCTTTGGCCTTGATTCTAAAGATGAAGTGACTATTCATTTCAAGAAAGAAGGACAATTTAAGAAAGCAGCAAAAAGAGAAAAATGTAAGTGACCATATGAAAAAAATCACATTATAAAGGGGACTTGATGGTTGAGCACACTCATTGCTTTTTCCTTTGGTTGTTTTTTTTTTCCCTCCAAACTCTAATACAGAGAGTCTATGGCATGAGATCTGTGATCACATACTGGACAGTTAACCACACACAAATCTCATCATTTATATTAATTATAACTATAGGATGTTTATATGAAATATTTCCCTAGCTGACACATATACAAAAAAGCCAAATTTTAGAGACAACCTATAGTGGGAAAAAATGTTTATAAGCCAGAACATTTGATAAGGGTTAATATTCAAAACATAAGAAACTTCAACAATTCTATAGGAAGAAAAAAAATAACTTCCATTAAAAAATGAAGAAAGGACCCAAGTAGAACTTTCTCAAAATAAGATACACAAATGGCAAATAGGTCTGTGGAAAAAATATACTCAACATTACTAATCATTAGGAAAATGCAAATTAAGACCACAATAGATAGCCATCCCACCTATCAGAATTATTACTATCAAAAAGACAAAAGGTAAGTTTTAGCAAGGATAAGGAGAAAGGGGAACACTTATACACTGTTGTTATGAATGTAAATTAACACAGCCACTATGGAAAACTATGTGGAGGTTTCTAAAAAAATAAAAATAAAAATAGAACTAACATATGATGTAGCAGTCCCATTTCTGAGTATTAACCAAAAGGATTTGAAATCACTGTATCAAAGAGAATTCTGCCTTCTCATGTGCATGGAAACACAATTCATAATAGCCCCTTACAGAACCAACCTAAATGTCCATCAACAGAGGAACTGATAAAGAAACTGGGGTATACATACAAAATGGAATATTCGTCTGCCTTTAAAAGAAAGTTTGCTATTTGCAACAACATGGGATATACCAGGAAAATATTATGCTAAGTGAAATAAACCAGGCACAGAARGACAGTACCACACATTCTCATTTTTAAGTGGAATTTAATTTAAAAAATCAAACTCCCAAAAAATCAGAGGAGAACTGTGAATAGCTAGCTGGTGAGTAATGAATAGAGTATGGATACCCTGAACAAAGGGATGATTTACTTCCTGTATGGAATGAAGTGAGAGGCTGGGGGTTGAGGGACTGAGGAAAGGATGGCCAACAGGTACTAAGCCTCAGTTAACAAGAGAAGCATCTGTGTGTGAGATCTATTACACAACACGGTGAATACAGTTAATAAAAGTGTACTGTGCACTTCAAAATCACCAAGAGGGTAAGCTCCAAATATTCTCGCCACAAAAAAATTGAGTATTTGAGATGATTGATATGCTAATTAGATAGATTTAAATATTCTACATTGGAATTATAAATCATGACATCACTTTGTACTCCATAAATATGTACAAATATGACAATTTATAACAAAAATTTTAAAAATAAAATGCATCCTATTTTCTTCCATTCTTTAAAAGGCTGTTTTCCATTGGTAGAATCATTTTAGAAATTTTGTTATCAAATTTCACCAGTAAATTGCACCCCCTCCACCAAACAAGAAGTGATCAAAGTTCACATTCTGTCTACATTGTAGCTTAACTACTATTTACCAAAATATAAAGAGTTGGCTTATCTTACTAATATAAGAAATACCTACTGTTTTTTTTGTACAAAAGAACTTCAAAGCAGTTTGACTCGTAGTTGTCAAAAGTCTGCCTGACTTTCTCAATGGTCTTCTTGTCGGTCAATTCCCCATACATAAAACTGGAAAAGAAAAAATAAAAAATAAATAAAACAAGCTTCAGTTTTGTGTTGCTTTTAAAATGCTACATAAAATCATAAGTCATCTTTGATTTAAGCATTCAAATATGCCTACAAACCAGAAATGTTGCTCCCATACAATGAGCTAAAATATATAGAACATTATTTACATAAATTTTTTTGAGCTTGAGGCTTACAACATAATGCTATAGGACACATATACACAGTAAAATGTTAACCCATATTTTCATTATGATTTCTAAACTACTTGCTAACAGCTAACTTAAGATGTTATAGATAAAAGGAAAGAGAGAGAAAATAAATACATAAATAAATAGATAGATAGATGGATAAATAAATAAATAAATAAATATTGGGGACAGGGAGTCCCTGCTTTACACAATTCCTCTGTGCATGGATTTTCATTACCACGAGTTAGTTAAATAACACCAATTTCATAACAACAACATTCAAATTTCAGTTACCACACTATATTAACAAAGTAACTGGATAAGTACAAACTTCACTGCTAGTTACAAAACATGAGTACAGTCATTACCCCTTATCCATTGTTTGGCTTTTTGTGGTTTCAGTTACCTATGGTCAACATTGATACAAAAATATTAAATGACAAGTTCCAAAATAAACAACTTATAAGTTTAAAATTGTGTGCTATTCTGAGCAACAATATAAAATCTCTAACCTTCTTTCTCTTTCCTATCCAGGATGTGAATCATCCCCTTTTTCCAGAGTATCCATACTCTATATGCTACTCACCAGTTAGTTACTCTCTACTCATCTCAGTTACCAAATCAATTGTTGCAGTTTTGCAGTGTTTATGTTCTAGTAACCCTTATTTTACCTACCAAGGGTCCCAAAGTGCAAGAGTAGTGACTCTGGCAATTCAGATAGGCCAGAAAAAAGGCATAAAGTGTTTCCTTTAAGTACCAAGTTTTAAAAAAAAAAAAAGTCCAATAGGATACAAGAAGATATTTTGATAGAAAGAACATTAAGAGAGAGGAAGAAAGAAAAATAAATAAATAAAAAATAAAAAGAGGCTCTTAGACTTATGGGACATAAGGGGACTTATGAGACACCTGGGGATTTCAGAAAATAGAGAGAAAGGAAAGGGTATAGAAAACCTAGTCAATGAAATAGCACAAAACTTCCCTAATCTTGTGAAATACATAGACATCCAGGTCCAGAAATCCCAAAGGACCACAAACAGATTTGACCAAAAAATGTCTTTGCCGTGGCATCTTATAAACTGTCAAAGTTCAAGACAGAATTCTAAAAAGAACAAGATAAACTCATCATTCATAATCATGTCACATTTAAAGGTATCCTTATTAGACTATTGCTAGATTTTTCAGAAGAAATCTTACAGACTAGAAGGGAATATGATGTCAAATTTAAAGTTCTGAAAGAGAAAAAATAATAATATTATATTCAACAAAGCTATGAAGAAATGAAAAAGAATTAAAGACTTTCTAAGAGAAACAAAAGTTGAGAATTCCTCACCACCACAATAAACTTACAAATTATACTTAATTATTATATATATTATATATAATATATGTGATTTATATTCCATAATTAAAGGACATAGATTGGATGAATGGAATCTACATATAGAAGTGAAAGACTCATGAAAATATATGAAAGTATAAAATCCACAGAAGAGCAATTACACAAAAGAGAAGTGTCTGTTCAGGTCCTTGGCCCATTTATTGATTGGGTCATGTGGTTGGGTTTTTTTGTTTCTGTTTTGGTTTTTGGTTTTGTTTTGTTTTGTTTTGTTTTTTTAGTTCTTTATATACCCTAGTGATTAGTGCTCTATCTGATGTGTGAGGGGTAAAAATTTGCTCCCAAGATGTAGGCTCTCTATTCACCTCACAGATTGTTTCTTTTGCTGAGAAGAAGCTTTTTAGTTTGAGCCCAACTCATTTATTGAATCTTGATTTTAATTCTTGTGCCACAGGAGTCTTATTAAGGAATTTGGGGCCTAATCCCACATTATGTAGATTAGGGCCTACTTTTTCTTATATTAGACACAGGGTTTCTGGTTGTATTCCTAAGTCCTTGATCTATTTTGAGTTGAGTTTTGTGCATGGTGAGAGATAAGGGTTTAATTTCATTTTGCTGCATATGGATTTCCAGTTTTCCCAGCACCATTTGTTGAAGAGGCTATCTTTTCTCCAATGCATGTTCTTGGCATCTTTGTCTAATATAAGATAAGGACCTGAAGAGTTACTTCTCAGAARATGATACACAATCAATCAACAAATACATGAAAAATGTATTCATTATCACTAGCAATTAGAGAAATGCAAATCAAAACCACTCTAAAATTTCATCTCACTCCAGTCAGAATGGCAGTTATTATGAAGACAAACAACAATAAGTGTTGGTGAGGATGTGGGGAAAAGGATATACTCATACACTGCTGGTAGGACTGCAAATTGGTGCAGCCAATATGGAAAGCAGTATGGAGATTTCTTGGAAAACTGGGAACGGARCCATCATTTGACTCAGCTGTCCATCTCCTCAGTCTATACCCAAAGGACTTTAAAAAACAGCATACTACAGGCAAATAGCCACATCAATATTTATAGCAGCACAATTCACAATAGCTAAACTGTGGAACCAACCTAGATGCCCTTCAGTAGATGAATGAATAGAAAAAAAATGTGGCATATATACACAATGGAATATTACTCAGCAATAAGAGAGAATAAAATCATGACATTTGCAGGTAAATGGATGGAGTTATAGAAGATAATGCTAAGTGAAGTTAACCAATCCCCAAAAAAACAAATGCCGAATGTTTTTTCTGATATAAGCAGGCTGATTCATAGTGAGGTGGGTGGGGAGCCTTGGAGGAATAGAGGACCTCTAGATAGGGCAGAGAGGTGGGAGGGGAAGAGAGGGGGCATGGGGTTAGCAGTGATGGTGGAATGTGATGGGCATCATTATCCAAAGTACATGTATGAAGACACAAATCGGTATGAATATACTTTATGTACAACCAGAGATATGAAAAATGTGTGCTCTATATGTGTAATAAGAATTGTAATGCATTCTGCTTTCACATATAAATTAAAAAATTACATTAAAAAAGAGAAAGAGAAAAGGAGTGAATCTTATCAATACAGAAAACCACTAAACTATAGAGATAAATAAGAGAAGGAAGAATAGGATAAAGGATATTAAAAAAGAAGAAGAAAATTAATGAAATGACACAAACCTTTACATACCAATAACAACCTTGAATGTAAGTGAATTATATTCCCTAATTAAAGGACATAGATTGGATGAATGGATTAAAAAGAATAAACCAACAACATGCTGCTACAAGAAACTTATTTCACCAGTAAGGACACAGTGACTAAAAATGAAGAAATGGAAAAAGAGTTTCCACACAAACAGAAAATAAAAGCAAGCATAAGTAGCTATACTTATATTAGCTAGAACAGATTCTAAATAAAAAGAAAAAAACTGTCATAGTGACAAAAAGAGTCACTACATTATGATTAAGGGATCAACTCAACAAGAGGTATAAATTGTCAATGTTTATGCACCTAATACCAGAGTACCTAATTTTGTAAACCAAACATTATTAGATTCAAAGAGAGAGGCTATGATAACACTATAATAGTTGGGGACTTCAATACCTCACTTTCATCAATGGACAGATCATTCAAACAATCAACAAAGATCAGAGATGGACCAAATGGAAATGACCSACATTATAGAACATTTCCAAAAGCTKCAGAATACACATTCTTCACTTCAGCACATGGACATGCTTTGGGATAGGACAGATATTAGAGTGCAAAACAAGTCTCAACAAATTCAAAAAAAATTAAATAATTTCCTGTATCTTGTCTGACAACAATGGAGAAAAAACTAAAATCAACAACAAAAAGAACTTTAGAAATTGTACAAATATGTGAAAACTAAATAATATGCTTTGGCACAAACAGTGAGTCATTGAAGAAATCAAAAGGGACACTGCAAAATTTCTTGAAACAAATAAAAATGGAAACACAATATACCAAAACTTACGAGATATAGCAAAAGTAACACTAAAAGGGAAGTTTTAGCCATAAGTGATAGCATTTAAAAAAAAAAAAGAAAGAAAGATTCATTTAAACAACCTAAAAAAAATCTGTCTCAAAGAATTTCAAAGGAACAAGCCAAGCCCCAAATTAGTAGATAAAGAGAAATACCAAAGATCAGAGCTGAAATAAACAAAACAGAGACTAAAACAACCACACAAAAGAATGATAAAATGGACAGTTGGTTTTTGGAAAGATAAACAAAATTAACAAATCTTCAGGTACACTGACAAATGAAAAAAAAAAAGGGAGAAGACCCAAATAAATAAAATCAGAGATGATTGAGGAGATAATAGAACTGAGATCACAGAAATACAAATTATCATTAGAGGCTAATACAAACAATTATACATGACAAATTAGAAACCTTAGAAGAAACTATTTCAAAAAAYTTAAAGGGAGGGAACTTTTCCAAACTTATTCTATGAAGTCAGCATTACCCTGATACCAAAATCAGACAAGGACAATAATAAAAGAAAAATAGAGATCAATATCTCTTATGAACACAGATGTAAAAATTATCAACAAAATACTACTCAGACTGAATCCAACAGCACAGAAAAAGATTATCCATCACAATCAAATGGGATTTATCTTAAGGATGCAAAGATGGTTCAACATTAGCAAAACAATAAATGTAATACATCACATCCACAGAATAAAGAACAAAAACCTTATGATCWTTGCAAGATATGCAGTAGAAGCATTCAATAAAATTCAACATCCTTTCATGATTTAAAAAAAATAAAATAAAACATCTGAACAAATCGGTTGTAGAAGGAATATACCTCAACATAACAAAGGCTCTATATGACAAACCCAGAGCAACATCATACTGAACACAGAAGAGCTGAAAGTGTTTCCTCTAAGATATGGAATAAG